TTGTAACCAGATGTTCCACGTTCTTGATCTCAGTGGTCACAATGTTCTGGCTGGTCGGTGTGTGTATAATATATATATGTCCCTCTATAAATGAATCCATGTGATGATGAGCGCGGTGTCACCCCCACCCCCGGGGGGCGCTCCTCTGTAATGGGCGATGGAGGAATCATCTATTTATGTTCTGCCCCCGATTCTGTCTGCTGGCTTAGGCTGCGCTGCCGCTTTGATGTCTGGGTGCATTTCCCGCACTCCCCTCTGTAATGAATTATTCACCATCTGGGATCAGAAACTTATTTGGGGGGTTTTCTGCGAGAAATCGGAACATTTCCCACTCCGGAGGATTATTCCCGGGAGACCGACGCGTTTTATCTGCAGAGCTGTCAGAAGAGGCCGGAGGCATGTACTGTGTGTGCGAGACCGGATCCCACCACACATGGAATGTTCAAACACGGCGAACGCCCCTCTGCCGCCTCCTCCAGACTCCCTACACCGCGGAGAATGGGGAGCGGAGAATGGGGCATGGAAAACGAGGCGCAGGAAACGGAGAATGGGGCGCTGAAAACGGGGTGCAGAGAACGAGGTGCGGAGAATGGGGCACGGAAAACGAGGCGCAGAGAACGAGGTGCGGAGAATGGGGGCACGGAAAACGGAGAATGGGGCGCTGAAAACGGGGTGCAGAGAACGAGGTGCGGAGAATGGGGCACGGAAAACGAGGCGCAGAGAACGAGGTGCGGAGAATGGGGGCATGGAAAACGGAGAATGGGGCGCTGAAAATGGGGTGCAGAGAACGAGGCGCCGAGATCGATGCGCGGAGAACAGGGTGAGGAGAACGGGACACAGAGAACGAGGCGTGACTTTTGAGTGACTTGAAGCTGTTGATGATTTTTGGAGATTTTACTGGTTGGGGTCACATGGTTGTTGGCCCTCTTGTGGGTCACATGGTCGTTGGCTCTCTTGTTGGTCACATGATCGTTGGCTCTCTTGTTGGTCACATGGTCGTTGGCGCTCGTGTGTCACATGGTCGTTGGATCGCCGCGGCGACGTCTTCATTCTGTGCTGATTTTTTCCAGTTTCAGTCTTTTCGTCTCTTTAATGACCCAGATTTTGTGTCCGTCTCTCTGCGGAGTCCCCGGAGCTGACGTGTAATGAGGCCGCGCACACCTTGTCACCTCGCATCACCGCACTGACTGCCGCGGCAATGCCACAGCTACTGCGCCACTGCCTACTGCGCCACTCCACACACTGACACTGGAGGTGTCACCCTCTGAGTCCCCTCCATCCTACACCTCAACGTCTCCATGTTTGTATAGAGCCGATCAGAAGCCAGCCGACATAGAGATCGCCCGAGCATGTCCCTGCCGGTAGAGTCCTGGAAGATTCCCGGCGATCCTCCATCATACATTGTAGACAATTGTCCTCTTCCAGCCTTGTGGTCACAGTTTGGTGAAGACCCTTTTCTGTCCCACCCCCATGACTGTCCCCCGTGTACAAAGCCGGCTCCATACAGACAAGGGGGGACCTGCACAGAGCCCTGACCTCATCCCTACTGATCACTGACTATGAGCCCGGGTCTTCTCACCCAACATCAGGACCTGACCTCACAAATAGGAAAACTCCCGCAGACACCCTCCAAAACCTTGTGGACGCTTTCCCAGAGGAGTGGAGGATGGAAAGAGGGATGGAGGATGGAAAGAGGGATGGAGGATGGACGGAGGGATGGAGGATGGACGGAGGGATGAAGGATGGACGGAGGGATGGAGGATGGACAGAGGATGGACAGAGGATGGACGGAGGGATGGACGGAGGGATGGACGGAGGGA